GGCAGGGCAGGCAGGCTCTGCACAGCAAACATGAGAGCCTGAAGGGCCAAGGTGAGAGCTGAGAGTGGGGTGCAGACAGATGGAGTGTCCCACTTGCAGTGTGAGCACAGTACCAGCACACTGTGGGTCAGGCATCACRGCAAAGTGCAGCTGCCATGTGTGCATGGCTCACTCAGAACAAGGAGCCAGCCTGGCTGGTGGCCTCCAGGTCCTGTCTAAGGTGAGCCCTACCCTTATCCCAGGCTGAACAGCCCTTTGCAGCCTAGATGAGGTCACTRAGGCTGAGTTACAAGTGTCAGAGGGTAAGCACCAGCTATTCAAAAACTGATGTCTCAGCACACCTTGTCAGACCTCCCTTCCAATGCCTGCTGGACAACTAAGGCTGGGTGACCACAGCCAGAGACTGCTGTGGCTRCTCCCAGTAAAGACAATCCCAGAAAACTCATCTAGACACAAACATGATGACTGAGCCATGAGGAAAAGCTTTCCTCTGAAAATATCTTCCAATATCCCACAGCAGTAACTCTATTTCTTTTGGTGCAGAATGGCAGGACACACCACCCTGGCAAGGAAAAAAGATCAGGGACATCCAGAGCATTGCCATATATAACACCATTATCTGGGATGTGCCTAACATCTCCCMCAGGAAGGGCACCAACCAGTCACCCATGCACCACATCACGTTGTCACCACGTGGTGCTGCTTTTCTCGTTAGAAAACACCAGTGGCAAATTCACAGCTGTCATAGTTAACTCTGTCAGTTTGATACTGGAGCTAAAATAAATAGGGCTCCCAAACCTTTACCCTGTTTTTGACTTTGTCTTTGCTTCAAGGTTACTTTGGCCTCTTTGTGTGTCCATTTCCCCAATTGTAAAATATGAAAACTTTCCCGCATCTGTTGTAGCTAAATTTCCCCCCTATTTTTAAGAGTTTTATCTATATAAGACTCCTTTGCGGGAAGAGTAGAGACATTATCCTCTACAATTAGGGGCGAAATGGGGGTCTGGACAGGCTAATATGTTTGTCCCAGGTCCCATAAGATGATCAGTGGAAGAGCAGGGACTTRAACCTGAGGTGTCCCAGCTCAGAAACTAATGCCTCCTACCATTCTTTCTCCCTGGAGACTTTAGTGGTGTTGCACGGGAAGGGCAGAGTGGGCCCCGTTTCTTCTGTTGCTTTTTTTTATGAGTGCGATGACGTGGTCTAAATTAAAAGAAAAATACAAAAAAGACTGCCATAAATTATCCATGTACAAAGGCCCCATTCACATTTATCCTATGGTCCCTTCATATTTTGCTGACAGGGTGAAAATGTAGCATCCTCTTTGGTATAACCTCTGTCTGAGAGGAATGCTAGACAAATCAAAGTGTCCTGGTGGAAGAACATTTGCAAAATCTGAAGCCAGAACAATCCTTTTATCCAAAATGCCAAAGCCTCCCCAAACGCCTTCCAGACCTTGTCAGCCAAGAGCCTCACCATCCCAAAAGTTACCCCTGAGGTACAATGGAAGCAGAGGGGGGCTGGATTTCTGGCTTCCCACCCAGCATTCCTGCTGACATCAGCAAGAACCAGTGGCTGCTCTGAGGGGATTTGTAGGCATTTGGTGCCTTAAAATCAGGCTGTAAAGATAATTACCCACATTATCCCCCTTCGTGTGGGGCCTTCACCCAGCACACGCTGGTGGAGCAYTGGGAGGTTGTTGTTCTGGCATCTTGCACTGCAACCATTATTTACAAATTAGGTCAGGAATTAGGAAGAGCTGCCACACCAGGRTTTGGAGGGCAGCAGCAGGGCTTGGCTGCCAGCACAGCCAGCCCCAAGACATTCAGAGTTTCTTTTCCTTTCTCCCAGCTGGCTTAACAGGAAGATTTTTCCCATGTGACTTTGTTGTCTTCTCCAGATCCATCAGATCTTTSCWGTGCATCTCCAGTAGCCACTGAGCKTAATGGACTCCAGCATCTTGGAGAGAGGGAAGTCCTGAAGAGGGACTGTATCAACATGACACGGACAAGATGGGCTCTGTTAACTCTGAAAGGGCCTGATTTTGCACATCCTTGGACAAAGGGAGGAGGGAAAGGGAGTCAATGTACCGTAAATGATGACTGGGATTGCGTGGAAGTGAWAAAGGATTTGTTAGCTATTTCGAGAAAGGACTGGTTTGCCCCATGTCTGTAAAATGGATGGATGTTGAATGATTTAGGCCACAGCAGCTGCACAATGATTCTTGAAGCCAGTTATGGAATCTGGATTCCTGACAGCCTGGATGTGTTTTACTGATGTCTCATGTCTATATTACATGGAGATGTGATGAATATAAAGCAATAATAAAGGCTAAGCAGAATTAGCGAGCAAAATAATTCCTTGGTAAAAACCATTCCTGGTTTCACAATTAACTGTATTGTCCTACTATTCTAGGAACTTTTCATTGCCCTTAGCTGCAGATTATAGTACTGAAGATATTCTCTTACTGAAGTACTGGTATAGATTAACATGACTTYACAGTTTGGATTCTACTTAAGCAATTACAAGAGCCCTTTCTACAAAATGTATTGCTTTTATTCCAGAAAAATAAATTCCCATGTACAATTGGGTTTTCATAACATGAAACAATTAGCCATTTTATTRCTAGTGCATATAGGGTAATGTCACATTTCATACAATTTTGGTACAAGTGAAAAAATATAATATATGGCTGATTGAAACTGATAGCTACATTAACATTTATAGATCTATATAGATTCATTTTACAAGCTGTTAGTAGTTTAGAGGGATATCGGTGTTTTAAACTACCAACATTCATATGGCTCCAATTCAAATATATGAATTGTTTGATGCGTATAAATATATTCCAAAGTACATTTCATTGAAGAAGTCAAAGCTGTGCACTAAAATATATCAAAAACATGCCTTGTGAAAATGCTACAGACAGAGCCCTGACTGTCTGTGGAGCATGAAAATGCCACTGGTGCTAGCATTACTAGTCAGAAAATGAACACAATGCCATCATTACAGGATTAGGTGATGGAGATATATGCTTTCTGTTGTTTCATTTCATAGAGCTGGGACTCAATGTAAACCAGGATGAATCCACCAAACTGGCAGAATTGCTTCTGTGTTAGCACTTGGTAAACAAACCCCAGAATCTGGCTGGAGATCAGGCAGACTCACTGGTTTCAGCAGAGCTGGTCTCAGATCTTCACTAGTGGAAGTGAGAGCAGAACATGTWCCAGCTGAGCTACTCCCCTAAGTCAGACAGGCACATAATCATATTTGCCCAACCTTGCAGATTTCTAAAATCCCAACTCAGGTCCCTGGGATAGTCAGCATGGGCCACATCCTGCTCTTAGGTTCAGTAGTGCCTAAACCCAAAGCCATTCTGGCAGAATTAACCTGGATTACTCTGCAGAGAACTTGTCCAAAGGACAAAAGGGCTGAGTGCTGGCAGCAGAGAAGGCACTGAGCATCAGATGAGATGGGAAGAGCTGTCAGGGCTGGAATCACATTGACTTTTTTAGCTGGCTTCCTTCCTTCTTCCTCCTCACTCTTGACCCCAGTGCAGTCCCCAAAAGGGACACATGGAGAAATCTCCCTGGTGGTATTTTTCCCCTTGCTTATTGTAAAAAGACAGGGGGAACAAGAATTCTTTTTTCAACTCCACCCCTTGTTTGGCAGATGCATTTACAGAGGACAGAGTAATCAGAGGACAGCATTCAGGTACCTGTGCCTCACATCTGCCCTGGGGCTACACCTTCCCCAATAAAGCATTGTTTTTGCAAATGATTGGATTCCAGCCCTGCCTTCACCCTCCAGATGCAGGGGGACGAGGTTCAGCAGGGTTACAGCGCAGTTACTGTGGGTGGCAGTGATGGTGAGGGTGGCAGGGATACTGAGTGCACAGGTAGGCTTGCTGGCCAAAATGCTGCTGCTGGCCAAGTGCAGCCCAGGCTCTGGGTGAGCCAGGGAATGCTTTGTACCATCATTTGGAATGTACCAGGGCTGGAGGGCTGGAGCCTTCCCCTGCAGCTCAGCACAAAAAWGTGCTCTGTGCTGCTCTTGTCAGCRTAAAATTGAACAGAGATGGGCTGAGCCCACCTCAAAGTAGATATGATCAGCCACTTTCAAGGGGAACAAAAGTAGATTTTAAAAGTCTGAATTTGCCAAGGTTGGCTGGCTTTCCCCGGGTCTTGTGTGAAAGCCTTGTTCATGGTAGCACATCAGGCCTTGGCCAGCATTACCAGCATTCCACACTGGGCAGCAGAGGAATAATTTTTAGTGTCAAGAACCCCGAGGCCTCAGCTGCCTGTGCAAGCAGACACCCAGTGTAACATGGAGAAGGGGTCCAAAGACACTGCAACCATACAGATTCTGAAGTAACTGTAGTTTGGTTTGGGGAAGAGGGGGCATAAAGGAAGCATCTTCCTTGGGAGAACAGCTTTTCTTAAAAAAAGAGGATGAGTTTGGGACCCCAGAACATACTCAGCATAAATTTTGCCTCAAACCCTGGCAAAATTCTTAGCTTAACATGTAGGATATATCAGAAACTGTTGTTTTAATACAAATTAGGTCAACTCCAAACCCTTCTTTGAAACAATATCTGATTCCACAAGTACTTTGTCCACATGGTAAAAGCCAGCCCTTAATGTTCTACCCTTTAATAACTCAGGATGTTAGCTGTTAAGTCCATTTGTCTCTTGCCTTACTTGTTTAAAGCTTTCTCCAGATATTCCTGGATCCACTTTAACTTGGGATCAATGCACACTTGCTTGCTGTTGCTCTTGAGCCTTGCACTGCCAAAAGAGAAAAGTCAAAGTGAGTCTGGTGTGCAACGCTCCTGAGCCCACACCCCACACCCACCACCCACCACCACTGTGCCTCATTTCCCTTGGGTGCCAGAACTGCTCTCAGTTAACCATGAGGAGGATGGGTTATTTTTCCCATCCTTGAGTCACCTATTATAAATATCCCCAGTTTGGAAACCATCTGTCTCCTTTGACATGGTCTGTACTGGGAMTTGTGTGAGAGTAGAACAGAAACAGAATTTGAATCTAAGACTTCCAATGCCAACAACAGCAAAATTCCATTTGAAAATACTGACATGGGAAATAAAAGTACTTTTTTGCAAGGGATTGATTAAGAACAGCTTTTARATTTGACCCAAAACKGAAGTTTCACATGCTTTGAGGACAGATACCTCTTGGAAGTTCTGAAAKGAAGGGTGTGGTCACTTGTTACTTTTTGTTTTACCCAAGACTGAATGAACAGGTTGCAGAGAAGAAGAAAACTGAAAGTGCCACTTTGCCAGAGGCAAGTTTCGCCTCATATATTCACCCTGCACTCAAATAAAAGCAGAAACCTCCCGAGGGGTTTCTCCTGGATGTCCAAGCTGCACTTCCAACCCCAAACTGGTTAGCAAATTCTCCTTGAATTTGACATTTGGACTATCTGCATCTTTCATTCAGAAGAAGGACAAATAGCTTTTCATCAGCAGGTATCACCCTCCAGGGATCTCAGGACCTCTTGAGAGCTGTTATCTCCCATAAAAGCACCCTGTTATCTCCCTGCAGCACCCTGCCTCTGCCCCAGCTGCTGCAAAGTTTCCCTCTCAACACGGAAAAGTGCAAAGAGCAGCAATTTTATGGAAGTGCCCATAAGAATAAGTTCAGTACTTGTTTAAACATTTGCTGGATGGAAGCCATAACGTTCCTCACTTTATAAAATGCAATCTGCAGAATATAAAATGATGGTGTAAGAACTAACAGGTCAGAAAGGCTCCCTGCTCTGAGTTATGCAACAGCAGAGTTGTAACATAAACACATCGAGGATCCCTCTCACAACCCCTGGCCACTGAGGAGATGAATGGGCCTAATTCATATTTCCCTTACAGCAGTGCCAAGCTGGAGCATTTCCAGTGAAGTGATACCAGCAGAGTGTAAGAATGGATTTGCTGAGGTYAGCAATGCCTGGGAATTCTTGAGCTGACCTCACAGGGTACAGAGCAAAAGCACACGTAACCAGTCTCCAGACACATTCAGTATAGTTCCTCTCACCTAATATTACCTCTCACCTAATACTGAGACACAGATTTCTTCAGATATTTATTTGTAGCCTGTCAGCCCCTGCTCCTTGTGYAGCCATGGAAGAGACATAGGCAACTGAATGGAGTGTTAAACCTGGACTGATTTAGGGTGTCTACTAAAAATGCTCATTTCCCTGTACTGAAAAGCAAGGAATTTAGTGTGGGCTTTGTAGAAGCAGACATCAACAGAGGAATTCCCTGGATTTGGAGAGATGATTTCCAACAGAATGAAAGGCAAAAGCCTGCTCTCAGGCTTTTTGTTCAGGTACAGCTCCCCTTAAACAAAAAGGAAAATGCACTTGTGCAARAAATAACCCAAACGAGAAAACACACAAAACATCATCTGGCAGATATGTTTCACTCAGATTCTCTATTTCTGAAAAGGGCACCTTTTAATTTATGTATGCCTACACTGCTTAATGCTTAAAATGATTCAAGATGAGAAATTCCTGTGTTAGTTTTGACTGATTTTATCTCCTGTTTTGATAAAGACCTAGTTTGAACTCTTGATGTTTCAAGAGTATTTGGAGGGCTGTTTTTAAGTACATTATTTTCAAAGTAACAAAAAGATGGTGAACTATAGTTCATAGGTTCTGTATACCACAAACAAACACATTTGGGTCAGGAATGGGCAAGAACGTGAGATATTTTTGTTTCTGCATTTCATGCTCTTATTTATCTCTAATTACTATAATCCTATGTAAATTAAGAGATAAATATATACTCTATTCTGTCTTAAATGCTGTCATTTTCTTGAAACTACTCCAGAAAACTCCAAATCCTCTAAAAAGTCTTAGCCCTGRGACCCTTATGGCATTCACTGACAATCCCAGAGCACAAAACCATGCACTACTGCATTTTGGATGTTTGCCTCTAAGATTGTTTATAGGTAGAGATCGGAGTTAGTCACAGCTGGCTTTGTCATTCTTCTGAAAGAAAGTTATTTCTCAGCTGAAGCTTACATTTTTCTCACTGTTCTCCTAAGGCAGAAGCACATGATGAAATGCGAATGATCTACACAGAATGGTTTAAAACAGAAAAAAAAAAACCCATATGAATAAAAACTGGCTCATGAATGTGGCTCACACATACATTCCTGAGTAATCTCAATAAACCACATCAGTTTTCTGAGTGCAAAACTGTTTTGGATGACAAAAATTGATTTTTACAGCATTTGATTTGCAAGAGGAAGGGCTCRACATATGGGTCAAAGACATGACTAGTAATGGGATCACTGCACAGAAACCAAATCTAGTCCCTGACACCCTGTTAAAGAGGTTAACAGAAGTTGAGAGCTCCCTTGCAATGAAAAGATTAATGTTATTTTTTTTCTTCAGAAGATTTTGGAAAAGGAGGGAGGGGTCAGCCATAAAGAAGTGAACAAAAAAGGCATTCCTAAAATGCACATATCTACAGAGACAAACAAACAAAAAAAATCCCAATTTTTCCTGAAAACCAGCATTGCTTTTTCAGCAAAAATGAAGAGGTCATTTCCCACTGGGAATGCATCTTTTTGTCTTGCTGTGATTTACTGGGTCAGTTCCTGCCTGGTAAGTGTCCCTAGATTAGACCATCACATGTTTAGGGTCTGTGGAGGATACATGAAATACAGGAATTTCTTTTCCTTGTTTAGTTCCCCTCTGTGGAGAATTGACCCATTAGAAGACTCAGACYGCTGTGAAGTTTTTACCCCAAAGAGTGAATCTCCACACACACTGTCCAGGCAATGGAGTCTTGGACATTCCTGCTCACAACCCACGGGGGAACAGGACATGGGATCACATAGGAACAGGGAGATCACGGGCAGAGAACACAGCTGGGCTCCTTTATGTGAGGTAAAGCAGAGTCCAGCTGTATCTGACACACGGGCTGAAGAGATTAATTGGGATTCGTGGCATGAGAGACTGAAATGCAACCACCAGAGCAGGCRCCAGCTCTGTGACCCTTCTTGCTGACACTCGAGAGTTGCACCCAGCTGAAAAGAGCAGGAGACTTACACAATCTGAAGTGAGCAGTTGGGTGTGGAGAGGATTTTGAGGTGCTTAATATTGGCTCTTGCCACGTTGCTCTCGTAGAATCGACAGGGACATCGGTAAGTCAGGCTGACGGGTTTCTCTGCGGGACAAAGGGAGGGAAAGGACACGTTACCTCTTGCTCCGGACCAGCAGCACAGATACCCCGATCAGGGCTCACAGGAAGAAACTCCCTCCAAATACTCAGGTGAAAAAAAAAAAACCAAACCAAAAAAAAGCAGCAGAAAAGCTGCAGCTTTGGGAGAGCATTTGCCCACAGCTCAGAGCACAATCCTTTCAGCTCAGTTCCCAGCCTTTCAATCAGAGTGCGTGGGATTTTGGAAGACAAAAGAAGAAGGAGAGAAAATGGAGATAAGTAAAATGGAAGAGATTAGAATAAGGAGCCGCTCCATTGTGCAGGGATGCTCCTGGTAATTAGACAAGATAAAGGCCAAAAGAGGGGGCACTTGTCCTCGGTGTTGTTGTACTCAAACGATTTTGACCCGAGGCCAAATTAGAAGGTAGCTKGAAGAAAGCGATGAATTCCAAGGAGTTCAGATCAAAACGGCTCGGCTCAGGTGCAGGCTTTTCACAGGGGACTTAGAGGCTACAGAAAAGCTCCGATTTTGCTGGTGTTCCCAGGGCCCAGCTGACCTTTCCCCACCGCAGCCAGCCCAGGCTCCCAACAGAGGTACCCGCACAGAGAGATGCGGCTCCGAGACGMGAGATCCCAGCGGTCTCACATGAGACACTTGGAGTCTTTTGAATTCCTCGCCTGCGGCTCAGTAACGCAATCGAGGGGACAGTGATCAGCCAGAGCATCCTCAACACACTGTTCAGGGCCACCGGACTGATGAGAGCTCTGTCACTGGCATCACTRGGGACAGAATTATGTGTAACCCCCCAGGCTAAGAATCGTTCATGTATATGCATGCAGGACTGAGAAAAGCAGCCTGGCGCCCACCACAGCCTCTGCTGCCCGATTTCTCTACGGCACAAGTTAATTACTGGCAATCAAATGCATGTAAGTAAGGGCTTCACTAGAGCTGCAAGTTTCAAAGCTCCATGCACAATAAAATACAAACACAGAAGCTTTGCCTGGAAGTCTGAGAGATGCCTAAGATTTTAAAGAATTTCCCAGTGGAGCAGTTTCCAGCCTCTGGGAGGAATTAAATTCATACACTTCATACACCTAACCCTTGAGAYCTGGCTCACGCTGTAGATGGTCAGATCTGTATCGGACAGGGCTTGAGATCCCACATGGCAATCTGCCATCCTGTTTGTTTAGCCACACGGGAATACTTGYGGCATCCAAACCCAGTTCCCTTTAAAGGCAGATGGGGAGCTAAAGAGCAGGGAAGGGCTTGGAATTCCTAAACAGCTGTCTAGGAAGGTGAGAAAAAACACAGGTTTTCAAGTGCAGCTGATCTACATATATTGCACGTTTATCGATGCCTGTCTCTAGCACATATAACCACGGACAGCAGGGTGAAATTGTCCTGTCCTGAAGAGGGAACCCCCCTTTTTTTCAGTGTCTCTACCAAGAGAAGAGCCAGAATCAGATTCCACAGGAGAGGAATTAATCAGTGGGAACAGAGCATGTCCGGATTCACASCAGAATCTGGACTATAAATTCACAAAATTGAAGGACTTTTCCATCAGTTTTATGGCAGTCCAAACAGTGATTCCACCTATGACTGGAATAATCTGCAAGGGGAGGAGGAAGGAGGGCTACGGGGTGAGACTCGAGAACATGGATTAGACTGKCTAGTGCTAACGTGGAAAGGAGTGAGGAGGACACAAGGATTTCCCACTGCAAATCCGTGCCTGACAGCTGCACACTGTGAGTTTGTGTTGGAAGGAGAGGCTGAAATTGAGGGCAGTCGTACAACAACACTTAGCACAGCTGCAGCGATAATGTCTCTGCAAGCCTGTCCCAACCAGGTTTAAGCCAGCTTTAACCTAAACAGCATGCAAGAGATGAACTGTTCTGATCTATGATTTGATAATGCAATCCTTYTCTGTCTCAAACTCGAGGTGGGATTTTCAATCCCATACCACTTGAAATCAGGAACAGAGAAAGTTTAACCATCACTAAACATGTCTSTAAGTCCCCGAGTTGTTTCTTGCCCGAGAAAAGGCATCGAGCACACCAAGGAGGAGGGATGTTCAGCGTTCAGTGTTCAGCGTTCTGTCACCCCAATGTGAGGTGGAATAAAAAAAACCCTCCCTTTGGTATTTCTGTGTGCCTTGCTTGGTATCAGGAGCAGGCACTGAGCACCAGGGAGCAGCAGCACAGGCACCGACTGGGTCCTCTGCATCACTAGCAGGGAATCAGGAACTGCTGTCACTGCCCCTCATCTCACTGTGCTCTCAACAAGGCTGAAAATAGGGGAAAACTAGTGCATGTAGCGTTTCCCAACACATGAACCCCTTATCTTCCTAAAGCAGGAGAGGGAAGGGGCCGTTTGGAGGCCATAATTTAGGAAGAGAACATTTCTGAGGCTGACAAACATATTCCTTACCTCCTTTCAAAATTCAAAACATCTTGTTGCATGTACATTAGAGCTGATTAAACTGATTAATTAATCTACCAATTTGTGCTGTGAGTTCTCTAATAAACATTGAGCACAAGCTGAAGCCATTCTCTCAGTAGGGCAAATTAGTATAGTCTGTTAATTGCCCTGTTATATGAAAACATGCAACTGATGGCTTTTGAGACCTTTATCTGTCTGGCACATTTGGTTAAAACRTAGAAACAGAGTCAAAAGTTAGAGAAGAGCCAGATGCTAGTTGGACATCTTAATGTTATTCCTTCAACCTGATTTTACTTAGCCAAAATGAGAACACCTCTTTTGGCCTTSATAAAGAAGGGTTTGAAGAGGTTTGGGAGTTTTGTGTTTTCTTAATAATAAATAGCCTTATTGTTTTCTAACTCAAACTGAGTTTTTTTGGCTCTGAACACTCACTTTTGCTGATAAATTCYCTCTAGAGACAAAGCACACACAAAATGCTCTCAGAGTGGTCCCTTGTCAGCACTGGACGATRCCTATTTCATCCCACAGGGATCTCCTTCTCTTCACCCCCACTGAAACTGGACAGTAAGGGAAGAAGTGAGTTGCCAGTTCTGCTGCAAAGTTATCAGCACTAACTTCACTTGCTGTGTGAGCTGTGAAGCTYTGGATGCTTGAACAGAGAGGGAAGCTATATCCAGGCAAGCAGGCTGGACATGAACAAACAACATTTGAGGGAAGCATCATTTTACTTCTGTTCAGCCCAGGGTGCGCATTTGTCATTATCAGGAGATGGTTGGTAACTTTCTAAGTGCAGAACAGATCCATTTTCCTGGAAAGCAAGGCTGGGATAGACAGACACAGCTTTACCAGGTGACTGAGAAGAATGCAGAGCTCATCTGCCCGCCAGCGCAAGGCAGCCCTGATCCGGACCAGGGCTGAGAGCACTACACGACATGCAAAAAAGTAGGCAAAAATATCCGCTCTTAACACTGCAAGACCAGTTTCTGTCCAGCCTTCCTAAGCCGTTTCCTTCCTCAGGTAGCCACGCTTATCCCGACATAAGACACCCGCTGTGTCTTGCCGCCAGCCAAGGAGAGCAGCCGCGCTGGGGGCGAAGCGCGGTGCAGCCGGGCAGCTCTGCCGGCCTCCCTGCCCTGAGCAAAGAGCTGCCAGAGGGGAGGCGAGGAGGAGGAGGAGAGAGGTCCCTTCCTCCCGCGCCTGCAGACCTGCACTCGCCTGCAGAGACGAGAGAAGCCCGCTCAGGTACCCAGGCACCGGCAGCCCCAGCGCTCGGGRGCTGCTGAYGTTGGYGGMCAGGGCCAGGAGCTGGCACTGCCACCAGCGGTCCAGCGGGTCTGCCTTCGCTACCTGCCGCTCGCTGCCCAGCCTGCACCCCGGGGTGGATACGGCGAACGCGGCGGGGCCCGGAGCCCACCTGGCCGGGCCGGCTCGTTAGGGTCTCTCCGGGGCTGTGGAGGCTCCGKGTTCCAACGGGACGGGGCTGTTGTGCCGAAAGGCATCGGGGAAATTTTCGGGAAAWATTAACTCGCTCACGCTAGACAAGGAGGGCACCGGAGGGCATCCTCTGCCTCCCTGGGCGGGGAACACCCAAGTTTCGCTCGCCTGAATGGGAGAATAGGACAGGAGCTTGGGTTTGAAAAGGCGCTCCTTGCCCAGCCCGAGAGCTTTCGACGAGGSGACAGGAGGTGGCAAGTGCCTGCCAGGTGGGATGCCAGACACACGAGGAGCGTCYGGGACATGGCCAGGAGTGCGGCTGTCCCGCACGGTGCGCGCTGCCGGAGCCCCGCGGCACAGGGCTGCCCGCGGCACAGGGCTCCGCGCGGGATGCGAGGCAACAAGCGCGGCTTGCCGCTGTCTCCGGGGCTCTCCAACGCGGAGGCTTCCGCAGAGCGCAGCAGGCAAAGCAAGCCGGGCATTGCTGCCGCTGCGACACGGGGGACCGCGGGGCCAGGCTTGGGACGGGCGGGCTGTGAGACGGCGCTGCAGCGGGGATGTGACTGCAGGACCAACGCCGCCAGCCTGCGATCCCCCAGACCTCCCGTCACGGCAGCTCGCTGCGCCCCCCGAAACCTCCCCGCGCACCCGAGCCTGGGGTGCGATAAATTCCTGCCGAGTGACCGCTTTGGCTCAGCTCTGCCCTGATCGAGGAAAGATAGATCACGGCAGAGGACAGAACAGAAACCGAACAACCGCCTGTTTCTAATTTCTTCTGRCTTTTAGGGTTGGGATTTTTTTGTTAGAGAGAAAGTCGATACGCATATTTTGCAGCCAAACCACCTCCCTGCAGACCGAGCGCTGTTGAAAGCCTTCCCCCAGACGACTCCAATCTGGGGCGAGTTTGGCAGAGGGGACCGCTTTGGCCAGCTTTTTGAAAAAAGCCAGGGATGGCTGAAGGAACGGGAGGAATGAGAGTCTGCCCGCTCCCAGCTCCGCACAGCCATCGCTCGGGCTCGCCAGACACCTCCGAGCCGCGGCCGGAGCCCGAGCCGGGGCAGCGCTGCAGCTGCGAGGAGAGGGGGAAAGAGCGGAGATTTCCGCGGGACCATCGCTCCCCGCCGGGCTCTCG